CAAAAAAAAAACGGATTATCCCTCTGGATCCTTAGAAGAATATGCCGCAAAGCAAAGAAAAGTCACAAAGCATCCTGATTCCAAAGAGAGACGTATGGAGCAAACATGGGCGTCGTTACACAATTCTATAGGGAGGGGCAAAATTTTGAAAAATTTAGAATGTTTATTTGTTGGAAAACAAAGAAAATGAAAAATAAAAGAGAATTTTCTTATGATGGATTTAATTATTCTGTGACGTCATGGCTTACTTCCGGTTTATCCAGAAATTACAGAAAAGGCAATTTGTTTTTTATTTTTAAATGAAAACCTTTTTTCTTATTGAAAATTTGAATTTCTGGGACATTTTTTTAAAAGAAGTGTATACTAAAAATTTTCTGTCAGTAACATATTAAAAAATATATTTTCCATTCATAAATGTCCCTAAAATTCAAATTATTAATAAAAACGGAGGTTTCTATTTAAAAATTAAAAATAAATTGAGATTTTCTATTATTTCCGATAAAACAGAAGTAAGCCATGAAGTCACACACCAATTGAATCCAGTATATGAGAGTATACTGGTATACGATAAATGGGTCTTAATGGGAATTTTGCAGCCTAAAAAAAATTTATGAAGTTCGTACATTCCTATATATTTTTCCATAAACGAATTAATAGTAACATATTTAGAAAAAATATTATCCAATATGGCGGCCATTTTGACAGCTGACAGAAAATTATCAATACACGATTATTATACAAAATGTCCCAGAAATTTAAATTTACAATAAAAAAGAGGATTTCATTTTAAAATTAAAAAAAAATTCTGTTATTTCCGAAAAAACCGGAAGTAAGCCATGACGTCACAGAAAAATTGAATGCATCATAAGAAAGCATTTGTTCTAGTCTTTCAAACAGAACAAAATTATTCTGATATCTCACTGAATAGCTAAGATAAGGGGGAGTGGAACTGTGAGGTTTGTTCCAACAACAATTTTGGGACCATACATAAACTAGTCCACAACTTATTATCGACGACTGATAGTCGACGACCTGTCCACGACCTGTCGAGGATTGGGACGCGATTCGGAACTTGGATGTGTTGGAACATATTTTTGTGTTGTCAGATACACTCTGTTAATAACGTCAAAGTAAAAGCAAATTTAAAAAATGTCAAATTTTGAATTTGGGAAGTAAAAAAATTATAAAACTCATGAAAAGATTTATAAATTTTAATTATTCGATTTTTAGAGTTGGTGGTGGTTTATTTACGAGCTCACTTTCGTTTTGCGCATATCTTGACAATTCGTTCATACTCACATCCAGGAACTGATTTGACAGTACAGAAACTGGTTTGTGATTAGGTTTGGGTGTGTTGGAACACTAGGTTTTTGTACAGTTTTGAGTCCGAAGTTTGTTGGAACACCAAATCTAGACTGCGCAGAATCCCGACAGTACGGAAACCGATTTGCTATTGTGTTGGAACAAACCTTTAGTTGTAACCCTAACAATGTCACTGACCTATTTGACAGAACTGATACTTAAGTTGTCATAATATAAAAGATAATATTTGAGTAAGAATAAGTGTCCTAGTAGTTGACATTATAAGGATGTAATTTAACTAAAATTAAAATAATTTGCTTTAAAAAAAATTTAAAAAACAAGTAATCACTTATGCATATTCAGCTATTGATTGCACTGGGTTCTACTTAGTTCATTTAGATATTTTTTTCAAAACTGTTATTTTTAAAAATGCAATTAATTTTAAATATTGACTAATATCAATGTCATTTTTTATTTTCAAAATTTGTCTCAACATTGAATATTTTGACCAGAGACTTGATGATTTTAATATTTTTGAATAGTCTCCAAAATATGTTAAGAGTACATTTTTTGAAAATTTTTTAATTTTCTTTTTGACTAACACCAACTTATAAAAAACTTTATTCCTTTTCATATCTTCTTTTTGATTTTTCTGGAAGAAGATTTATGGTAATATTTCTTGCACCGTCAACAATTTCTGGGAGTGTATTTGAGTCACTTTTACTTATATCCATTATTTTTAGTTTTTAAAAGTAAAATATATTAACAAATAGATACACACAATATTGCCGAATTTAAATTTTGCTACGTTAATTTGACAGACACGGCTAACTTGACTAGCAAACGAAAATTATGTTGCGTATATTGTGTTGCCTGCTTACTCTATGATTAATTTTATGATACGCATAAAAAATATGTGTTAGTAAGAACATCTTAAAAATAACTTATAAGATCATCGGTTAGAATACTTAAATTGCAAATTAATGGCTCATACATGGTTTTGTTTTATTAAATTTTACAAACAAAAAAATTGAATTAAAAAAAAATGATAACTGTTGAGTATTGAACTCACGACCATTAGGTTCAAACACAAACGTACTAAGCTTTATACCAACAAGACATGTTAAATATGAGTTTTAAAAACAGGGTAAATTATTTATATTTTATTTATCATTTAAATGAGTTTGAGTATTAAATGTTTAACTAAAAGATTCAGATTAGTCTACATTTTCTTTTAAAATCCGATTAGCTTTATAATAACAACCTTGCTAATGAAATTATCTAATGAAAATAGGCGTGTGCAAAAAGTAAATTTCCGCCTACATGCGACAATAATATCAAACTATGACAATTCATGAAAAACGTCAACTTTCCAGTTAGATTTGATTGTGCAAATGCCTACTTTGTATAGTGATTACTATTATTCTCAACAAAACTGACTAGCTCGAGTAAAAGTGTAATGAAAATTCAAAGATGCGGATACTTTTAGTAACGTCATAGTATCTCCTATTTATTTTCTCTCAATGGGATAGTATACATCAGCTATACTCTAAGTGTGTTCCGCGGAACCCTAGGGTTCCGCGATACCCCTGTGGGGGTTCCGCAAGAATTTAGAAAAAAAATCAAAACACCTCTCTCTGGTCGAACGTTTTGACTCCGCCCGCCGCGCCGCTGCCGCGCGCATACTTGTGAGTGCGCAGTCCCGAGATCGAGTCTAGGACTAAGTATAAAAGCGGCGATCGCGCGTCGCGCCTCCCAAATCCCTAAATTCATACAGACCCATCTCTCTCATATCAGTCCTAGGTAAACTCCTCGAGCTTCTGCTCAAGGAAAGAATCTGGGAATTTTGTGAAGAGAGAAACATCATACCCCAATCCCAACATGGTTTCAGACCCCACCACTCCACCCAGGACGCAATATCATCCCTTCACACTACCGCTGTCACAGCGGTAAATTCCCAGCACATCTCCTCAGCTGTTCTCCTAGATGTTCAAAAAGCCTTTGACCAAGTCTGGCATGCCGGACTAGTCAAAAAACTTATGAACATAGGTCTCCCCCCCCAAATTTCGAAACTCATACACTCCTACCTCTCAGACAGAAAAATCACAGTCAAAGTGGGCAACTCCTTATCCGAAACATTCACCCCACTAGCAGGAGTCCCACAGGGCTCCGTCCTGGCCCCCCTCCTCTATCTCATTTACACGCACGACATTCCCCCCCCAAACCACCCCACATCCAAATGCCTGCTATACGCAGACGACACAGCTCTAATTTCGGTAGCCAAAAATTCTAACCAACTAAATATTCGAACCCAAAATCTGTTAAACCGGTACTCTCACTGGTGTAGCAGATGGAGGGTCTCATTAAATCCACAGAAAACTCAATTTATCGTCTTCAAACACCCAAATTCCAAAAGAACCTCTCAGAACCCCCAACTCGTAAACGTAAATCTCCTAGGAGTCAGGCTAGCTCAACAGACCGAAGTCGACTATTTGGGGGTACGATTTTCTCGTACTCTTAACTGGTCCTCTGACGTCCAACGCACTCTTGATAAGATGCGAAAGCGAGCCAGTCTCCTTGGAGCTTTGTGCGGACGAATAGGGCGCTGTAACCCAGATACCCTCATCCATACTTACAATTCCTTCATCCGACCCGTTGCCGAATACAGAGCTATACCCTACGGTGTACTTCCCACACACCTGTCCCACAAACTCACCACACTCGAGAGACGTATCCTCAGACGATGCCAATACCTCCCCTATCGCTCCCCCAGCGGAGAAGTCTTTTTAAACACCCCCAACACCCCCATCCTCACACGTTTCCAGTCCCTCAGGAAACAATACGTCTCTCGCACGCTGAAAGGCACAAACACACACTCCCAAAACACACTTCGCACCCCTTGGCGACCCAACCAACTCCCCCTCTTTCGAAGACCGAAAAGAAAATTGCCACAGCCGAATCTAAAACTCCTCACAGACGCCCAAGACCTCCCCCTCACCGCTGAACTCCAGGATCTGCTGGAATCAGCCCCGCTGAGTATAAGATAAACCTTCCCAATTACTTAATTAGAAAATCAAAACACATGTACAATATCGTGGTTTAGGTTTTGTGGTTTTCCTAAATCATATTCCCCACCTCATACATGGACCTGTCCAATTATGAGGTTGGAAATAGCAAAATTGGCGATATTCTTGGGGAACAAACCTGCCACACAGGTCCCACACACACGCGCACAAAATTAGGAATTAGCTAGCTAGGTTACTTTTGTAATCAGGGCAGACCACCCTGAAAAGGAGGATAACTCCTATAGCAGGGAAATAGGAAAACAATATGTCCTAGAAAATGTAATAACACTTAAGATTTCCGCTAATAAATCAAAAAAAAAAAAAAAAAAAAAAAAAAAAAAAAAAAAAAAAAAAAAAAAAAAAAAAAAAAAAAAAGTCGCGCCTCGTCAGTCAGTTGACGATTAGCGTTCGTAGCGATAAGTTCCTACCTACCTACTTACAAGCTGTCTAGCGAATTGCGGAGTTTAAACGTGATATATAACTAGTGTTTATTGTTCTACTGCCTGCTGTATTCTGATTGTATCAGATTTGTACATTTCTTCTTTGGACTAAACTTAGTCTCTTATAAGCAGTAATGATTGTGCATTATTTTGACCCCACCATCCTGACGTGTAACATTATTAATAAAGAAGAATGGAACGTTGGCTTAAAGGCGTTAAACGTGTTGCAACAACATCTTCTAATGACGCTGAATGTTCAAAAGCAGTACATGCGGAGAATGCAGCAATTACCGATCGAGACGATGATGCCACGACGTCAAGCTCCACGGTTTCAAAGACGAAAAAAAGGAAGTATGATGAATCATATATCAGTTTCGGATTTGTTGATTCCAACGGCTCACCTCTCTGCATGCTATGTAGTAAACTGCTTCCTAATAGTTCCATGGCACCTGCCAAATTGCGCCGACATTTATAAACTGTACACCCCGAGTCTAAAGACAAGAATAAAGAATTTTTTGTTCGCAGAAAAGAACAGTTATTGGAAAGTCAAAAAAATATGATGCATGTAACACAAACTATCAATGAAAAGGCCACGGAGGCATCATATTTAGTTAGCTATCGCATTGCACAAGAAGGTGAAGCGCACACTATCGCTGAAAATTTAATAAAGCCATGTGTGTTAGACATAACAAAATGTATGCTCGATGAAAAATCTGTAAAGTATCTTTCTACTGTGCCGCTATCAAACGATACTGTTTCACGGCGAATCCATGATCTGGCAAGCTACGTCAAACAAGAACTAGTTACACGTCTACAAAAAACACGATTCGCCTTGCAAATTGATGAGTCAACTGATGTCGCTGGTCTGGCTATCTTGCTGGTTATCGTGAGATATCCATATGAAAGTTCTTTTGAAGAAGACATGCTTATGTGTTCACCGCTGCCCACAAACACTACCGGGGAAGAAATTTTTAATAAAATAAACATATTTTTTGAAGAAAATAATCTCAGTTGGAACGATTGCATTGACATTTGTACAGATGGGGCCAAGGCTATGACAGGTAAAACAGCAGGTGCAGTGTCACGCATAAAAAATAAAGCGCCTAATTGTAGTTCCAGCCATTGTATCCTGCATAGACAAGCACTTGCGATGAAGCAAATGCCGTCAAATCTAAAATTAGTTATGGATGAAGCGGTAAAAATAATCAATTTTATCAAATCACGACCACTACAATCCCGATTGTTCTCATTATTGTGTGAAGATTATGGTAGCAAACATAAAACACTGCTGCTCCATACAGAAGTGTGATGGCTGTCTCGGGGTAAAACTTTAACAAGGCTATTTGAACTTAGAGCGGAGTTACAAATGTTTCTTTCAGCTGATACTTCTTTTAATTTGAAAGGCCGTTTGTATGATAAAACTTGGTTGTTCCGATTGTCTTTTATGGCGGATATCTTTCAAAAAATAAACGACTTGAATTTATCATTGCAAGGTAAACAGACAACAGTATTCCAGGCCTATAACAAAATAACTGCCTTCAAAAGAAAATTAGATTTTTGGATTGTTTGCGTTGATAAGAGAGAAATAGAAAGCTTTACGTCACTCAGTGAGTTTGTTAGCGATAACGACTCAGAAATGTTTCAAGATGATATGTTTGATGAATTGGTTCAATATCTCACTTCGATGCGCGCATCTTTTGAAAAGTATTTTCCCGAAGAACAGAATACAAAAATAAAACTGAATTCATGGATTCATAATCCTTTTTTACCCAACTTGCAAAAGCCCGAAAGTATGTCAAACGAGATATATGAATCTCTTTTAGAAATGTCATCAGACACAAGTATGGAGTCACTATTCAAAACGATGCCTCTCAACGATTTTTGGTGCAGAATTCGTAATGAATATCCAATGCTTGGCAAAATGGCTCTGAATATTCTTCTCCCGTTCCCAACAACATATTTGTGCGAAACAGGATTCTCAACGTATGCAGCCACGAAAACAAAATATCGCAATAGACTGGACGCCGAACCTGATATGAGACTGCAACTGTCTTCTATCAAACCTGACATCAACCAATTAATGAAAAATAAAAAACAGTTTCATACCTCCCATTAGTTAGATTTTTTCTTTTTTAATATCTTGTAATAATGTACTTGCCATGTGGCATGTTAAATAAGTAATAATCAGTATAATAAAGAATACACTTTTAAAAACTATTGTTTTATTGTAGGGTTCCGTCAAGTATTTTGCTTTCCAAAAGGGTTCCGTCACCAAAAAAGTTTGAGAACCGCTGGTATACATCATTTAAAAGGTAATTTTATGGAGCATTGAGCGCAACGTCTATTAATTGTGTTACTTTTGATTTGCAACGTCATCCAGCAGGATAAAAAACTGTTATATTTTAACGGGTTTTCTCGCCTGAGGAAATTGTCCATTACTAATGGCGCTGGTTACGGGCTCTCGAGCACCACATTTTTGGTAATGGTTTACTCCACAAACTCTCAACGCGGCGTTGAAAGTACTCGGGTAGCTACAGATGGAGATGGAAAATTCCAGGGGTCAAAGTTCACTTAGACACAGGTAATAGTAGGCCACAAGTAACGGGCTATAATCGTTGCATGGGCTGGTACAGAATTTATCACTTGCTGAAATACAAGGAAGAAATAAAGTATGGAATTAGTAACCAGTAATACGGCAAGTTAACATTGAACATATATATGGTTTCAAACTATTTACAACATAAAAAAGAAATAAATTAAGGTATTTCAACGCACACTCTCACGATAATATGTACAAACTCTAAACAAAAATAAACAAACAAACCGGCCGGAAACGACTTTCGTATAGCCTCAATCAGACGTAAAAAATGAAATCAATAATTGTAGTTATTACGGTCGCAGCAAAAGTTTATAACTGAACTGTCTATTCGGTTGATGAGCCAAAAATGTAACTAGCTATTTCGTTCAGGAGAATTATTAATTCGGTCGTAGGAAAGATTTACTATCAGAATATTTTTACAGACGTGAGAAAAATTAACTATTTAACAGTTTAATCGTTAAACAAACTTAAATACAATATTTACGGTCGTAGGCAAAATTAACTATTGAATTGTCCAATCGGTATTTACAATCAAATGTAATTGAATGTTTTGGCAAAGCAAAATTAAATATACATTTGCAGAGAATGCGAGGAGACAGGTTCGGGACAGTACTACTTTCAGGGCTGAAACCGGGACTCTATAAGAAGTTTACTCAAACTAGTGGTTGGAAAGTAAAACCAACTAACAACCGGGATAGCACATTATCTCTGAATAAAGTGATCGTAATCACGAGCCGCTTGAGACAGGGGAATGATACTATTTAAGTTCACTTAAAATAACGGAGACTTACGCAAATGAGTGTTTCAGACGTAAAATATACTAATAACCGGGATAGCACATTATCTCTGAATAAAGTGATCGTAGTCACGAGCCGCTTCAGACAGGGGAATGTTACTATTTAAGTTCACTTAAAATAACGGAGACTTACGAAAGTGAGTGTTTCAGACGTAAAATAAACTATTAACCGAGAAAGCACATTATCTCTGGATATAGTGATCGTAATCACGAGCCGCTTCAGACAGGGGAATGATACTATTTAAGTTTTCTTAAAATTTGCGGTTCGGAGTATAAAATAAAAGAAAATATCTCGTTACAATTTTATTAAGACAACAAATCAAAATATTAGACAATTCCCAAACAGTTCCGACCAATTATTTATTGGTTAAAGCTTTAAGTAAACTTAAATAAAATTTACGATTTTTTCTTGGAAATTTACGGTAGCAGGAAAAATTAACTATACGACTATATTTACGATCGAATGAAAAATAAATTATTTAGCAGTTAAAGCCTTAAATAAACTAAAATGAAATTCCAAAACAAAATGGTGCTTTCTAACAAGAATAAATTAAAGTATTTCTTAATCAAAACAAATTTCAATTCTTAACTCAACACGGAATAATATTAATTAAAAATAAATCAAAATAAAACGGTTTCCAATAGCACTGCTTAAAGTCTCGAGCAAAAAAAAATCAATTTATGAAAACAATAACAACAATTTAACTATCGTCAAGATCGCGGCTATCAATTTATATCGGTTTAAAATTGTATCTCTCGCGAGCAATATCGGAATCGTGGACTTCGCTGTCTAAATAATTTTTCTGTTTTCGGCTGTTCAATAAATCGGTGTATCAGGAACTGAAATTTTTAATTGACTCTCGGAGCTCGTTCAATCGTCGCTTGCTCTTCCACTAACAGAAAATCCCACCATAGAAACTCGCGTACGCAGAGAATCTGGATGATTTGGTTTGAACAGCGACAAGCTGATATACAGGGCATATCCACGAAGTTAAAATTAAATAAAAATCGAAATTAATACCGGGAATTAGTAAAAAAATATTAACGAAAATTGACTTCATTACAATATATTGTAAAGTGTGAAACTTCTTTTAAAAGCTTATTTTAATAGTAATTTAATGCACAACATAAATCTTAATATCGTGAAACATAACGTAAATAACCTTAAGAATGTTTCCATTATTGTTAAGATTACATCAATTTACTCGTAATTTCAAAATAACAAATTTATGTTATACATTAAATTAGGGCAGAGTGAAGAAAATGGCGTATAACAGTTCAGGTTATGAGAGAAAAATGTTTAACCAAAAATTTACGAGTCCGAGCGTTTGTCTAAAATGTTGATGCAGTTCCCGATAATAGCTATATTTCGTTTTCGTCTGGCCACTCTGTATGTTGCGTCCGTGTTAGCAAATGCAATATGCAATAGGAATGTCCAAGAATGCTGTGCTCTGACTCTATTTTATAGATTTACCGTTTATTTTTAGTAAATTAGTCATTGATATCGGTTGAGGTTTGAAATGAATAAATGTTGTCTTCTGAATATTTATTCATAACTTATTTGACCAAAACATCCTTTAAATTTATTATTCATACATTACAATTTCGTAAAGCAATGATCTAATATACCATCAGTGCATAAGTAATTATTAACATTAATTATTAGATTATTCTGTACAACTCGAGTGGATTTTACATTGTACATGTATTTACGATATGGCCATCATATCCACTCTTGTTGCACAAACTACTATTTTCTACACCCACATGGATATTAGCGTATCTACGCACAGATTACAAAACAAAGAAGAATGTTATAGCCTTCAACTGAACGAATGTATTTTACATCCATTCTAGGTAGAGAGAACACTGCAAAAAATGAAATCAACCAATCACCGTTCATATTTTGATCAACCGACTGCCATTATTTTTAAAATTTTAAATAAGTGACAATTCTGTCAAACTAACTGTCAGTATATTTTTTAGTTATTGAAATTAAACATACATTAAAATGGGTTATTCTTGTGTAGAATTGATAAATAATAGTATTTCTGTTTTTATTTCATTTATAATTATATATAATTTGTCAATTTAAATAAAACTATATGAAGTCAATTTAATTACGAGTATTAAAGCATCATAAGTAAAAGAATAGGTGGTATTGTGGTAAGCGTTCTTACCTTTAAAACGGAAGATTGGAGTTCGATTCTCGAATGAGGTAAAATAATAATCAAATTGGAAAATGATAATTCTACAATAATAACTAATTGATACCTGGGCAATTTTAAGTACAATGCCGTTTTGATTTTTTCGCATTGAATAAAGTTTTGGAAGGTCAAAATACGCAAAAAAATTTATTCATGATACTCTGTTTTTATATAATTATTATCACCAGATTGCATTTAATTTTTTTTTTCTGTACTGCCATAATTATTTCTACCAGACACACGAGAGTTTGCTTAAAATGAATATCTCTAAACTCTTTCTTTCAGGAGTACAAAATATAAAATAAAGAACCAATAGTCAAGAATAATTATAACATGTTAAACAATAGTGTTATGTAGAATAGCCAGTTATTAAAAAAAATGTCTGTTAAACTATCATTTTTTTTGGTTCTTACCACAAATATAACAACTATCACAAATAGGTACACAAGCGATATACAAATATAAAAGTACTGCACTTACATCTCCATCCTTCCATATATGAGTCGTTCAGAGGAAAACTGGTCTTACTGCATTAAAGTAAATATTTAAAAAATGTTTTGCATCTGAGTGAAATAAAAAATCACGGCTATACTTAAAAAATAATTAACGTATTTCTTATAAACGTGTATTAAAGTTCACATGACAACCTATTTGCAAATATTACTATCATACTATCATATAATCTCTAAGGAAAGAAGAAAAACTTAAGTCTGTGTTACTTCTACTTATACCGATCTATTACAATTCCACTAGTGTTTTTTGTTTCCCTCAAAAATTAACAATCAATCGTTTCTATTTTAGGTGGATATGGTCTAATAGTATACAGCCTCAGAGAAAACAAATCCTGGAGAGTCTCCCATAACTACTTTTACCTAGAACCTCTGGCTGGGGAATTCCATATTTCAGGCCACGAATTCCAATGGAATGACGGTATCTTTAGCGTAGAACTGACTTCACCAAAATCAAATGGATATAGAGATATGTATTTCCACTCCATGGCTGGCACCCACATGTACAAAGTGTCTACCAGAATTTTAAGAAACGAAACTTTAGCTACTAGGTCGTATCATCAAGATGACTTCGAGGTAAACGAACAAACCAACATTTTTTATAATAAATTAGAAACGACAGAAACATATAACAGAATATGTACTTACTACATAAAATTTATTTATTTCGATTTCGGCAAAAGAGGGTTGAGGCAGGTTATGTTAGATCAGGTTAGGTTAAAACATCTTATTTTATAGTAGTAGAAAGTTAAAATAAAATTAAGTAGTAATATATTGGGAAAATATGGACGAGGATGTAGTAGGAGGTGCGAACTACCAATAATCTAAGTACCTGCTAGTTATAGGCGGTTATTTAAACAAGATTTCTATCATCATATCCATATTTCTTCTTAATAGTATTAAAAACATTTTGAAGAAATTATTTCAGTTTAAAATCCTTAAACCAACAGCACTTCGTAAGGATTGAGCTCAAACAAACTAAAAAAGAAGAAGAAGAAAAAGAAGAAAAAAAAAAAAGAAGAAAAAGAAGAAAAAGAAGAAAAAGAAGAAAAAGAAGAAAAAGAAGGAAAAAGAAGAAAAAGAAGAAAAAGAAGAAAAAGAAGAAAAAGAAGAAAAAGAAGAAAAAGAAGAAAAAGAAGAAAAAGAAGAAAAAGAAGAAAAAGAAGAAAAAGAAGAAAAAGAAGAAAAAGAAGAAAAAGAAGAAAAAGAAGAAAAAGAAGAAAAAGAAGAAAAAGAAGAAAAAGAAGAAAAAGAAGAAAAAGAAGAAAAGAGAAAGAAGAAAAGAAAGAAAAAGAAGAAAAGAAAAAGAAGAAAAAGAAGAAAAAGAAGAAAAAGAAGAAAAAGAAGAAAAAGAAGAAAAAGAAGAAAAAGAAGAAAAGAAGAAAAAGAAGAAAAAGAAGAAAAAGAAGAAAAAGAAGAAAAAGAAGAAAAAGAAGAAAAAGAAGAAAAAGAAGAAAAAGAAGAAAAAGAAGAAAAAGAAGAAAAGAAGAAAAAGAAGAAAGAAGAAAAGAAGAAAAAGAAGAAAAGAAGAAAAAGAAGAAAAGAGAAAAGAAGAAAAGAAGAAAAAGAAGAAAAAGAAGAAAAAGAAGAAAAAGAAGAAAAAGAAGAAAAAGAAGAAAAAGAAGAAAAAGAAGAAAAAGAAGAAAAAGAAGAAAGAAGAAGAGATATTTCTTATAATTTCGTAGGATGAATTGGGATTATTTATTTTCCAAAATTAGAATGACGGTATTATTTATATTTCCAACAAATTCAGAGTAAAATAATTATTGTTCCATAATAGCCAAAATTTGCTGACGAAGTGTAAGAGCAATGCATCAATAACGTTAAAATTTAGGGTCAGTCAGAAGAAACTTCTCTTCGTAGTATAGGGCAAGATATATATATATATTTTTTAATTTTATAACTAGTATTGACTAACCTACAATTTTAATCTAAAAATCTTATGAACTATTTACTTATTTAAGAAGTCTACATTTTTCTTCGTAAGCATTTTTGATATCAGCTATCCTGTGTACTTGATTTATTGTCAAGTGTTTTTTTCTAAAACCAAACCTGATCCCTTAAGGTTTGTATTTTCAATTATTGGTTTTAGTTGTTTTAGTAGTAGCATTTCAAATAACTTAGATATTATTGGTAGCATTACCTCTATATGATGACACTTTATTCGGAGATTTTATGTCTTACGAATTAGGATAACTTCAGCCATTTTCCACGTATCTGGTATATATTTAAGGTAAAATGCTGCATTTATCAGATATGTCAATTTAACGTGACAGTTTTTTTAATATTTCTGCAGTAACAAGGTATCCTGGGGATTTCTGTAGGTTGCTGTTTCTTTCGCAACTTCATTAAGTTGTTCCATATTGTTAGGAATTGTATCATTCCATATACGCAATTAGATGATAGACGTCAGTACGAATTACGAATATCAAGCACGTTATTCTTGATGTTGTATTGCATATTTATTTTATAAGTAAAATACAGTTATTCACTATGCATAGTCTATCTTTACTCAGTCCCAGACTTCCAGCAACTCAAGCTGTTCTAACAGGTTATGGGCCCAGCACGTGTGATAGCACAAGGATTCAACCAGTAACCTGGAATACACTTTAATTAAACGTTCTCACCAGTTGCTCGTATGAGTTCTATTAGGCTTTTGACTTCTCTCGCAGTACATGAAAATATACCAATTTGATCTTACTACAATTCATTCAAATGTCGAATTAGAAAAGGAAATATTCATAGAATATCCCAGGTATTTTTATGAAATTTTGGAATATTTATTAGAAACAAAAAATTGCTCAAATAAAATATTGAAACAAGAAATATTTGAAGAACTAAAATCCGGAAATAAAATAAGTTTACTGAAAAAGGTTTAATATGGACTTCGACAATCCGGTAGGAGTTCTGTTCTAAAACGATTTGGCCTAATCGCTACCAATGCTGACCCCTGTATGTTCTACAAACGAAATAAAGAAGATTTACTTTTGATCGGAATTTATGTCGATGACGTCATTCTGGCCTGCCATAATCTTGAAAGGGTAAACTTTTTGAGGGATATTTAAGTTCACAATTTGGGATAAGGTGTTTAGGAGAAATCGGATACTGTCTAGGCATTGAATCAAACAGGATACATTACTGACGTCTAAGTCGTTTGTTTTGGAATGAGCGACCGGAACCCTATAAGTACTCCAATTGAACCAAATGTAAAACAAATGAAGGCAGAGCAAAAATGCTTTTACAGAGAATTGATGGGATATTTAACTTATTTAGCAGTAATACGACCTGACATCAGTTTTTCAGTGAGTTACCTGAGTTAATACAACTATTGCTTCGGAAAAGTACATTGGGCTGCTGCGAAACGTGTTATACGTTACCTAAAAGGCACTGTAGACCTAGGGATCATCTACAAACCTCCGTATGTGCCTTTAAAAGGATATGTCGATTTAGGATATTGAGTGAAGGACCTATTTCATGGGAATCCAAGAAGCAGAGGACAGTAGTATTGTCCTCTACCGAGGCGGAATACATGGGATTGATGAAAGCTGCTAAACAGTCAATTTTCTTATCCAGGTTTATTCGAGAATTAGGACTGAAGGAATTGGACGTTATCACTCTCTTCAATGATAACCTTTCAGCCTTAAAGCTTTCCGAAAATCCACTTTTTCATGCTAGGAACAAGCACATAAAAGAAAATTGGTCAAAAGTGTATCATGTGAGCTCTAACGAAATGGTTGCAGATGTACTCACTAAAGCATTAACTTAGATGTAAATTAAAATTGCGTCAAAAGGATGGGATTGGTGAACTTCAAACATTTTTCGAGGAGTGTTAGGAAGTGTTAGAAGTGTTAGGAATTGAATCATCCTGTATACACAATTAGATGATAGGCATCAGTACGAATTAAGAACGTCAAGCACGTAATTCTTGATATTGTATTGCATGTTCATTTTATAAGTAATATACAGTTATTCACGATACATAGTTTATCTTTACTCAGTCCCAGACTTCCAGCAACTCTAGTTATTCTAATACATATTATGGATCTTCTCGTTAGGAATGTCTTGATTTTCATCTAATTAAAACGTCTTTTGTAGGTGGTCAGCGAAAATATCAGCTTTCTGTTAATTGTCCCTTGTCCATTTGTTATCTGCTATTCTGATAGAAGAACATTGTTTTTACAATTTTTTTCTCTTTTTAGTTGCCTTCTAGAACAAATAATCAGTTTCTTTATCATCTGTTAGTCCTACTAGGTATCTGTTAAAGGAATCTTCTTTGTGATTTAGGATTTGTCTTCTCAGTCTTTGTATTTGTTAAGTCTTCTTGAAAACCTTTCCAATTAGTTTTTCAGTATGCTATGGTCGATTTTGCTTCCTTTTTAATAACATTATTACTAAGAGTAAGGATTACTGCAGAATGATCTGAATCCATATCAGTTTTCTTCTACTTGGTGAAATTTTTTTTAGAATAAAAAATCTAAGAGTAATCTTATTTGGTGGGTCAATAGGTGCGTTATTAAGAAGATTGGTATTGTTACACAGGTTTTTGGTATCGCAATTTATTTCAACTCAACCTTAAAAACAATTATACAACTGATAACATTAACATGTAACGTCTATCATAAAACTGAAAACTGACGTCGGAATCATCCTTATATAGCTTGCTTGACCCTTCTCGAACCTTCGCGAACTGTCGTCTAGAATATTCTTGACGCGTAATGCTATTTCCAGACATTACTGGAATATTCTATCTTCTTTTACTTGTACTTTTACTTATAACGACCACAGCACACTGTAGGGCGATGAGTAACATTCCACTTCTTTTTCTATCTGTACGTTTCCTATGATAGCCGCAGGCTACTGCAGGGTGCTGCGTAACAGTATATACAACCAAGTTCGGATGCACTTCTTTTTCTTTGATTGTGGTTAATCTTAAATCCTAGATGGTGTTTTTATAGTTGTTATCTCCACCGATTATAATTTTATTACCTAGTTTTTCTTTTTTCTGGTTGTATATTGGTAGGCAATATATTGCAGGTATTGTACTTTTTCCCCCTTTGTGTTAATGGTGTTAATGGCTACCTGATTTTCTGGTTCTTGGATGCCTGGTTTCTCACAGTGAGAAATGTTATTTTTAATAATTATCGCACTTCCTCCTCTCAGTGTGATAGAAGTTGTATCCTCTGAATTTAATGTAAGTCAAATCAAATAAGGATCTCTTATACGTTAAATTTAGAAATAAAAACTTGATACCTACCTCTAGTAAATGTTACCTCTGACCCAAATAATTTTTTGATAGATTGAAAATATAATATATTACTTATCTAGAAAACTTCCTGCGTTAAATCAATTTTACGCTCCTGAATTTCTTTCGCTTTGAACCTCTATGCCCTGGTCTCATATCGTTATACAATCGCCATCAACTCTTATTATTTTTATGATTCTAGTTACTTTTATTTTTTTTAGGTTGTCGGAGACCGTGGTGCAGAGTCACAAACATCAGCGGCTGACATACATAAACCCAGTGGTATCATGTTCCTAAGTCTAGTCAACCAAAATGCCTTAGGATGCTGGAATACCAACAGACCGCTACGCACAATCGGCTTAGTTCAAAAAGACGATAGAAAAATGATATATCCCTGCGATGTGAAAGTATATGGAGATAAAGTTTACCTGCTGACAAATACAATGCCAGAATTTTTGTACGGCAAATTAAATTATAATAAGAAGAACTTTAGGGTTTGGTCCAATGATGTTATGGCAGCAACAGCAGGTACATCGTGTGAAAACAGGAGGGGATCCTATGTGGCAGCTTCTGAAGCTGATGTAGAAGTAAGACCTGGTGGAACCTATTCAGGAGGAGCTTCAGAAGCTTATGTTGAACAAAAACCATCTGGAACCTACAAAGGACAAAGACCATCTGGAATCTACAGAGGACAAAGACCAATGTCTCATAGTCCAATAGCGTAAATTTTTTGATAATGATTTTTTGTATGTGAACCATTTAATATTTTTTAAGTTGACTTTAGTGACAAAAATAACAATAAAAACTAAATAAAAACATACCTATTTTTCTTTATTGAAAATTCGTAGTTTAAATATACCATAAACTTTTAATTGTCATAGAGTGGGACAATAGGCATAAAATAATTCAGTGCTGGAGGAGAACTAAAATAATAGCAGAAGTCAAAACCAAAAATAATTAGACCAATCTGAAGAAGATAAAAGTTTATATTATCAGAATTAAAATAACAGAAATCCTTTTGCGATTCTATTTTATTTGTCACTGGAGAATAATAATTATTTTTGGATTTGTAGAGTGGAACTGATTGGATACAGTTTGCTTTTAGGTATCAATAAACAACTTTGAAAATTTATAGCCGCTATAACTTCGGTGTATTTCGTTTTTTATAACTTTAGTAAGTTTTATTCCGTGATATCACTTCGTATGAGCGTCCTCTTGCAAAACTTCGTTTGGTCCAAAATGACAAAGTGACTAGCTTCTGAAATATATATCTCTTAAAACTAAACTAATTGACATCTTCAGGGTGTTTCAAAGGTTAAGTGATTATTTTAAATATCCTTATTTGGACGGAGGTGACAGTAGCAGAACTGCATTAGAAATTTCTAGATATATCAGTGATTTTAATTAAACATGGTTATTATAAAATCAATAAATTGTAAATAGACATCTTGTTACACAAAGTTTACACAAATGAGATTCCAAACCTTTTAGGAGTTTTTATTCAGAAAAAAATTTACCAAATTATACACAAGTAATAGAAAACTTTGATATGAATTCAGATCATTCTGCAGTAATCCTTACTCAAAACTATAATGTTATTCAAATAGAAGCAAAACCGGCTCTAGCAATCGAAAAACTAATTGGGAAGGTTTTCAAGAGGACTTACCAAATACTATTTAACTGACCGTACCACTAAGAACGAAAAATCAGCTAGATAATGAAACAGACAGGCTTATAGTTGAAATCCATTAAGCTGCATGGGAGAACATACCAAAAGTAAGAAGATTAACAGCTGGAAAAAACTATCGTTTTGAGATAAGAGAATTGATAGCAGAAAAAAGAAAAGGCAGATGACAAGATCACCAGAAGATAAAAATATATTTAATGGGGCTACCCAAAGAAGAATCCTTTAACAGATACCTAGTAGAACTACAGATGATAAAGAAACTGATTCGTGTAAATACTGTCCTACCAGAATAGCAGATAAAAAATGGGAAAGAAACAATCAACAGGAAGATGATATTTTCGGTGACCACCTACAAAAAACGTTTAAATAGATGAAAATCAAGACACTCCTAACGAGACGATCCATAATATAAAACTTGAAATTAACTAGTGAGGTCAACATTAATGTTAGTACTAGTACAGTTTATAGCTAAAGAATTAGTTAGCTCACTCGGACCAATTGGATGTTTGAAAATATCATCCACTCCAGGGATATAAATTCAGGATGCGCAGAAGAATTAAGCACGCAAAGTGATAGATGTACGCGCATAACGCAGCTAATGAGAGAGAGAGAGAGAGAGAGAGAGAGAGAGAGAGAGAGAGAATATATGTTTATTGTCCAAGTTAAAATACTTATTGACAAACACAATATTGTACAAATTACAAATAAATAAATAGTCATACAAACACAATATTGTACAAATAGTATACAAATTACAAATAAATAAATAGTCATTAAAATATAAACAAACATTATTATAAATTAACATTAATACATACATCTAAAATAAAATAAAATAAAACACATATCACAGTGTCTCGTCATTATAAAATTCTATAATATTATAATAAGGCCTAGTTAACAGAAATGTCTTGAGCAGCTTTCTAAAACAATTCTGTGACTCAACATCTGTCAACGTATGCGATAGCCTATTGTACATTTTGATACCATTGTATATAAAAGAGTCTCTTATTAGTTCTGTTTTGGGAATAGGCAACTTCAAGTTACCCGTTTGGCGAGTTACACGGGATGTATTCGATTTATATTTCGACTTGTTTTTATGGATCATGCAACAAGTTTCTAAGATAAATAAAGATGTTAATGCTAATATTTCTTGTTTTAAGAACAGTGGTCTGCATGAAACTAATCCGTGTGCTCCACATAAGAACCTTATTGCCCGTTTCTGCATTATAAAGACTCTGTCAAATAACTCGGCAGAACAGACTCCCCAAAACTGAACAGAATAACGTAGATGGGAGTTAACTAACGCATAATATGCAGTTTTTGCTGCACAAACTCCCAATTCATGAGAGGTGGTTCTAATGGCATAACAACCCGATGCGAGTTTTTTTTAAAGTGAATCCACATGAGATTTGAATTTCAAATCCATGTCGATATTTAAGCCCAAAAATTTTGTATAGTTTGTGGCTTCTACAGTATCCATATCTATTAAAATATCAGGAACATTACATTTAAAGGTTAGTATTTTTGTTTTTTTAAAATTTAATGACAGAAAATTTGCAGTGCTACATGTTTTAAAGGATTTTAGGTCATTACTAATATTTGAATAAAGAATATTGACGTCTTTATTGTGCCACAAGATAGTAGTATCGTCAGCAAATAGAGTGAAGCTTCCTGAGATATTTAACTTACCTAAAACATTGATATAAATTAAAAACAGGGTGGGCCCAAGAACAGAACCTTGAGGGACACCCCATTTTATGTCACTTGTATTCGAGTCTGAAACAGTTCGGACTAACTAGTTGCGACCTAAAAGGTAGGATTTCATCCAACTCAAGGCCACATCTCTTATGCCATAAATTTCAAGCTTTTGCAGCAGTACTCCATGGTTGACACAGTCAAAAGCTTAAGTCAGATCACAAAATACTGCAGCTATGGCCTCGTTGAAATTTAAACTTGTATAAGCTAATTCCAAACAAGAAGAAACAGCGTCCGATACGTTTTTGTTGTGTTGAAAACCGAATTTATTTATGTCCAATATATTACTTTGGTCTAGATATCTAACTAGTCGAGTTTTTACAAGTTTCTCAATATTTTTTCCGAGTGTCGGAATTAGAGATATGTTCACGGAAAAAAAATTGTAGAACAAATTTCTACAATTGTAGATTTTTTCTCTACAATAAATAGTACATATAGGGACAGGGACAATTTGTAGTAAAAATTTCCAAATATTTGTGGAGAATGTATTGTAGAGTTATTATCTACAATATTTAGTAAAAAGATCCAAATGCATCATAAGAATTGTTCTACAAATTGTTATAATTTTTGCTATTCATTGTATGAATTTATATTAAAAATGTATTGCGTTTTATGAAAATAAATACGAAAATTTTACACAATAAATAGTAAAAATTCATACAAATTGTAGTAATTTTTAATAAAATTTGTAGTAGTAGTAGTCCATAATTATTTTAATTATAACCTAGAAAAAAATGTTCCTTAATAAAATATTCAATTTATTGTTTTAATATAAAAGATACAAAGTCTTAATTACATTATGTAAGAAATAACAGTAATAATAGCGCCCTCAGTCTCAGTTGGCTTTTCTGCACCTGAAAAATATGAAATAAAAATTAATACCAATTGAATTGTTCATACCCTTAAAACGGGGATATTTATCACCTTTACACTGATTTGGATATTAAATGACTAAGTCAGATAACTAATAAAAATGAGAAAGTAGGTATGTCACAATTAAGACAAAAAACATCATTGAACTTGGCACAAAATTCGATCGTTGGGCACAACATTCGATCGTTGGCCACAACTATTTTTTTAAAATAATCTACTAAGGTTATTTAAATTAGTTATCTAAAGGTAAATTATTCAGAAACAATAATAAATGTACTTACCACCAATAGAATTTATTATTAAAATTTTCTCAAACGCATCGGTGCTTATAATATAATAATGTGTTATAGGTACTCGTATATGTACCATGCTATGTTATGTGAACATGGCGAACGGCTACTGCTGTCTGGCCGTTTATGATCGACGTCAGAAAACGTTGGCCAATAGCAGAATTCTCTTTTGTTCACATGACTTAGAATTTCTACAATATTATAGAATATTTTTGAAGAAGGGATGTAAAGTATTACTATTTTTTGTAGAGAAAATTACTATTTTTTGTAGAGATAATTATTATTATTTGTACAAATTTTTACAGAAGTTAGTAGTAGTAATTACGATAATTGTAATAAATTTCTACTTCTACAAACCATAGTAAAATATACTAAACATTGTGGACTTCTTTCCTATTGTTGTAGCATTTTATTCGACAATTCAATTGCTACAATAATTAATAGTTTTTAACTATAAATTGTAGTAAAATTTTCTACAAATTGTTAAGTATTTTTCTACAAGTCTACTACTACAACATTGTAGTAAAATTTTCTAGTCACATTTTTTTCCGTGTTAGATTTTCAGCGATATTGCAATAAAATGTATTAAAATCGTTAGGATTTATATTTGCATTGCATGATTTATGGGTACTTTTGCCTCTCGATTCATTAATAATAGACCAAGTTTCCCTTGCCTTATTTTTCAGCTCTCGATTCTTGTACATATCTTTAGCTTTTCTAATAAGTGTTCGATATAAAGATCTGTAGCGATAATAATAGTTTAAAAATAAATTATTTTGCGTAAATTTTTTTATATAGTTGAGAGATCTCATATTTTTTTATGAACATCTTAAACCAGCTGTAATCCACGGCTTTTTGGCTTAATTTTTATTTTTTGAATAGGGAAAGACGCATTAAAAAATTTGCTTAAATTTAAATAAAAATCGTTAAAAGGAGATATACCAGTAAAGCAACTGTACCAATTAAAATTTTTACATACTAAATGAAATTTTCCATAATAAGATTTACTAAACAATCGACCATGACGAGAATTAGTCTTAGGAAGCTTATGCTCAAGAGATGTCGAAGCTAAAACGGCTTCATGATCAGACAGACCGCTGGGATTCACTGTACACGA